TCATCCAGCAGATATTGAAGATACACATCTCTTTTTTCAATCCCTACTATTAGTTCACACTCTTCCTATAGTTATTTATATATATATATATATATATATATATATATATATATATATATATATATATATATATATATATATATCTTATTCAAATTTTCAATCGTTAATATATACTTTTTATTCATTCTTTTAAGTTCAAATGCATTTTTTAAACTTGTAGAGGATGACACTTGATGTCAATACAGTTTTTTTCAAATATTAATTCATTAATTAATTTTAATCGATGAATAAATAGTAACGAACAAAAATAATAGTCCAACACCATATATAAAAGGGAAAATCGCTTGTTATGTCCCTGCAACGCCAGGGTAGGCATTAAGTCGATCGCGATCGATCGATGGATTACCAAGACAGTTTGGGATGACCACCTGAAGGTAGCAGTTAGTAATTATATACCGAGGTATTAAAGATTGACGGGCAATATACAGACTAAGTACACTATTGATTATAACAACGAGAACCGACTTTAGATGAAATTGTTTTATTTTCTTATGTATTTTGAGTTGTTTGATAATAAATTTTGATATTATATCTGTGGGTATTATTAATATGCTCTTGTATCTTGCTTTAAACGCGTTTTTAAAAGAGAATTTTTATGGTAGTTATGTGGAGAAGTACATATTTCTCATTTATTATTAATAAATATAGTAGACTATTTTCTTAGATCCCCACACACCTACGTTACTGGGGGGACTGCAACACCTTGAAAAATTAGAAGTAGCCCGTACCCTGGGAAAGTCTGCCCACGCCTGCTGTATAGTACAATGGATAGCGCGTTGAACTTGCAATCCAAAGGTTGTGGCTTCAAATCCTACCTGTGATGACCTAATTTCTGAAAATGTGATTTAAGGTATGCGACTACACTAAAATCATGATTTTTTTCAAAAATTGACAGTTTTTTTATGATTTATTTTATAGACCATCTTATTAGAGCTTAATAAAAGTACCAAGCTTTTTATTTTCCATTTACTAGAACAAAAACTATAAGTGTTTTAGTGAAAGCAGAAGCCATAACTTTACACAAGATGTCAAACTTTAGAATGCGTTTTACTCGAAATGTGTTTTTTTTTTCGAAAAACTCAAACAGAGACAGCGATGGATGAAAGAGTTTTGAAAATAATTTGCTGAAGATTTTTGCGTATGTTCTGTGTAACAGTAGAAGTGTTTTGACTTTCAGATTTATTATTCACTTATTTCAAAATTTACAGTCCTTTATGTGAATATAATCGTTGTTTTTTTACGCAATTTCATATAGTCACTAAGATAAAGTGCTCTAGTTTTTGTAAAAAATAAAATATCTCTTATCCTGAACATCATTTCAAACATGAATAGCAAAGTAACACATTGAAAAATTGAGAATTTGTTCAAAAAGTTTTTGTACGAAGCGAGCCTCGTTTATGTAATTTTTTGTACATTTTCACCAGTTTTTTCCACTTTTAATAATAATAAAAAAAAATTCTTGTTTTCAATTTTACATTTTTTTCCTTAAAATATACTAAATAAATCTAAAAATCACAAAAAAATCTCCATATCTCCATCTTTTTTAAAAAAAGTTATCGCGAGTAGTCGGATACCTTAAGAATGAATAAATAGTAACAAGCGAAAATACACACACACACATACACAAATAGTACTAAGCCAAACATAGAACGAAAAATCGCTTTCTATTTTTCAACTTAATATTTTGATTCTGTTACATATTTATATTAAATGTAATTATTTAATAAAAGGTAATTAAAATAGAATTTTCTTTGTTAACCTTAGTAGGAATTCACTTAGTTTTTTTTATATTACTTGTTTATACCCTATTCATTTACATTTATAAACCATAATGAGTTGTACAACTCAGCTATCAAAACCACTAAGTAGTTGACAGGTGGGAAATACAGCTTATTCACATAGAAAATATTTGGGAAAAAAAGTGGTTGCACGGGGAATTTAGACAGCCCAAGTACCTTAAGATTTTATAAAAAACGTTTGCCATACCCAAAAACGAGGGAGATATATGTCAAATACATTGTAGTTCCCGTGAAGACTGTCTTGTAGGGGAATACTGAGAAGGTAATTGGTAACAAATAAACAGTTTTTCCAAAATTAGAGATTTCGTGACCCTGGGGGGACTCTGTGCCCCACGTGGCGACTCCCAGGTTATCGTAAATTAATTCGTGAAGTACAAAAGTAGACTTGTAAAGAATTTACCCTCATTATTCTACCTCATTCATCGTAAAGTATAAAATTTAGGAATTGTTTTTTGGAAGTCCTACACATTTTATTTTTATATTCCAAACATTGCGAATTTAAAATACAATACTATTTAGTTGATAAAAAAAATAAAACATTTGAAGTATAAACAAAAAAATTTATTTCTTATATAAATAATTTTCTTAAGAAGATGATTACGTTGACAGTAATATTATCAGAAAACTATCGACATTTCGATTTTCTCAACTACTAATACTTCATCGAATGTATTTGAATGATTAAATTCAATAAAACGAGAAACGACACATTTTTTTTATCTTTCATTATTTTTGGAATGGGTATAATCTAGTTATTGACCTCTATTGTTATCTCCTGAAAAATATTGCAAATGACTGAAAAGAACAAAATTGTCTCAATCTGCTAAAATTCCGAACACTATCGTTTTGACCTAATAAATTTCAAAGTGTGTATATTTCCAAGGATTTTTATAAATCAGGAGTGCTGTTAAAAAGTGACTTGCAACATGGCCAGCTAAAAACAAATACAAAACCAAATCAAACTTAGATAAGACAGAAAAAATTGTAGAACAAAAGTAAAATTAATTATATTTATAGATAAAGGTAAAAATATGTGAACTGTTGAGGCGTGTAGTGTATGGTAAAAATATGATTGAACAATATATTGTATAAACAAGAAATATAACCAAATTCTGTTTAAGTCAGTGCTTCTCAAACTTTCAATTCTGGCGCCCCCCTTTTCGATCACAATTTTTATCGCACCCCCCTTCTACATTAATAATGTACTGAATGCAAAAATAATGCACTTTGACGCTAAAGCTACAATATGCGATCTTAATTATAAACCATACAAATTAGTAACATAAGTATTAAAATTTTGTACACTACTTTTAAGCAAAAAATAAATAAATAAATAAAATAATAGGAAAATTATTATGTTATTTTTCCTTTCTCTAATTTTTAAATTGAACATATTACAAAATGCGGTGGCTGCTTAGAAGACAAAATATAGATATCTGCTAAATATAGAAAAATAACTCAGAGAGTGAATTTCTAATCAAACGCATTCCTTATAAAAACTTTGCTTTGCAAGACAAGCCCATGGAAGTCGTTAATACTTATTAAACTTGTTCTTAATTTAGTATTAATTAATTAGTTATAAAATACTCTGTGCAGCACTGATACATTAAAAGTATACTGGCTGAAGTGTCCGCTCTTTGCCCGAGTTCATTAATAAGAAAATAAAATATTATTGATATTAATAGCTGAATTGTAAGGAGTGCAAAGCCAAATGCTCGACAATGTTTACAAAAATGTAAAATGATTTTTTTAAAATGGTTGCTCAAATTATAATTAGTTTTAAGCAAATGGTAGTTTTAAGCCTCACAGAATTAGCATTTATATTTCATGTTAATTAATGAACAATAGTATAAAATTCCGACGAAGAATAACTGTATTATTTTTAATATTTAAAGCGAAAAGACTTCAACATGTTTTAACCCCAGAGCAGGCGCTCACTCGATACGGTCGAGCGGGGTTATTGAGTCACCCTAATCTTTTTTTTTAATAATTATTTTATTGTACACGATACAAATCGTGATTCCAGTGAATAATTTAATTAAGAGAAAGTTTATTTACCTACTTTGAAGGACTTTTCAATTTTTATTTGGTAACAATTAAACAGTTTTGCCAGAATTAACGATTTCGTAATCTGTGCGTCCCGCGCGACCACTTCCGGGTAAAAAGTGTATTCATTATGATTATATGAAATTGGGTAAAACGTTTTTCGCGTTATGCTTTATATGTATAGAATACTCGTAAAAATAAGTCTTGGCCAAGTAATTCTTCAAAGTGTGCGTGTGTGCTCTCTCTCCGTGGTTTTCCAAATATCATAAAACTCTTTTGCAGGGAAAAAAGCGTAACACAGAAATACATTACTTACAACTTCCCTATAAATGAGAAACAAACACATAAGAGAGGGGTCATAACTAACTGTACCAATAACTTAGAAGGGTAAACAGATTACAGTTATAATGTGCAGTATTTCAAAAATAATGACAGTGATGAATTTTTTATGTTCCTAAATTTTTTCGATTCTGCGTCTGGGATCTGTTTTTTCTCTGAAAGAGTTGTATGTTAGGTTTTAACAGAAAGCGTATTAAAAAAATCTCTCATCATGGGATTACAGCAAATCAAATAAAAGTTTTTTTATTTGGTTATAGGATCAAAGATAGATAATTAGGTATTGAAGAACTTTTTATTTTTGTTGACTTAATATCGCACGCGCGCGCCTATAAATTATATCAGAGTAAAAGTGCATTTTTTATTATGTCTGAAAGTATTTTGTTTTAATTCATTCCAGTAAATTAATTATTTTTGAATCTTTTATTTTCGATTTGCTCGCGCCCCCCTCGTAGGGTTATCGCGCCCCCCAGGTGGCGCGCCGCACACACAGTTTGAGAAACACTGGTTTAAGTCAATTCCTACTTAGGTCATCAAAGAAAATGTTGCTTTAGTTACTTTTTATTAAATAGTTACAACTAATATAAATATGTATATACATATGACAGAATCAGAATATTAAGTGACAAAATTGAAAGCGATTTCCCTTTTTATATATGGTGTTGGACTTTTTTTTGTTACAATTTATTCATTAACTAAATTTAATTACTCTAATAATGTATTATAGTAAAAAAGAAATTACATTCTCAGAAATTAGGCCATCCCAGGCGGGATTCAAACCCACGACCTTTGGATTAGAAGTCCAAAGCGCAATCCAATGCTCTACCGAGACACAACGAACGTTTTTCTTTTCTATATATTCTGTTAGACTATTATGTTTGTTTGTTCCTATTTATTTATTTTTTAATTTTTTTAATGAATCAATATTTCAAAAAGCTGCAAGTTTAAAAAGAATGTCTTTGATCTTGAATTAATGAATAGAAAGTATTTTATTAACGATTAGCTGGTATACCCGTTCTTTGCACGGGTGAATTTAAAAATTAAAAAATACAGACTGAAGGATAAAGAAGTTTTTAATGAGTTAATTTTACGTGAATTGTATACATTAAACAAAAAAAACTTTTTATATTACTGAGCTGAACGAAAAAAACGTGTTTGCTAAATTTTAAGTCTTTAGATATAATTGCTGATTTTTTTATTATTGTTATTATTATTTATGACGCCCCGTAACTTTCTTGTGGGTCGATTATTGAAAACACCTACCTGCTCAGCAAAAGTAACACATTGTTAGAAATTTTGTGTAATAAACGCTAAAAATAGTATAAATAATTTTTGTCTGGATGTGTGTAATACGTTAATATTACTTTCTGATGCATTTATTTTATGTTAAAGATATATATATATATATATATATATATATATATATATATATATATATATATCTTGTTCAAGTTTTTACCTATACATATAAATAAAAATGAAGTGTCTGTTTGTAATTTGAAATTAACAGCTTTTTACTAAATGCATTTAAAAGTATATACGGTACTTATATGAAAAAATCAATTTTTAAAAATTTTGTCTGTCTATCTGTCGTGTCTTTCTGTCCGTCTGTTTGTTTGGGCTAATCTCTGAAACGGCTGGACCATTATATAGGCTTATTCTCTACAAACAAGAGATAACGTTGAACAATCACATTTGAAAAACACATACACAGTAGGAGAATCACACAATGAAAGAGACATGAGCAGCCGAGATTAAAAATTATAAAATGGATGCTGCAGTATTATAAACATTGCTGACTTAGGATAGCTTATATATAAAATAATTTATATAAAAGAGGGGTTATATATCTCTCTCTCTCTATATATATATCATTATTGGAGTAATACTTAGATTGACAGGAGAAATGCAACGTACAGCCGTTTATCATATTATATTTTATTTCAATATTCAGCAAAGCCATCTGTACTCCAAGCCAGGACAAAACGAGTTCTATTTTCAGCGTCGATCAGGAGCCAGTGCGTCATTCTTTTACGTGGTTCTTCGTAAGTTCGCCAGAGTCGAAGTCAAAGTCATTATGCGGGAGGCAGTTTGAGTTGTTCTATTAGGTTTTACCCACTGACACTTGAAGGGTTAGGGATTCATCACACACACACACACACACACACACACACACACACACACACACACACACACACACACACACACACACACACACACACACACACACACACACACACACACACACACACACACACACACACACACACACACACACACACACACACACACACACACAAATATATATATATATATATATATATATATATATATATATATATATATATATAGAGAGAGAGAGAGAGAGAGAGAGAGAGAGATCGGGAATTATACTTTAAGTTATGTTTGTGCATTTAAAATTTTAGAGAAATAAAAATAAGGAAATATTGTTTTGTGATTAAAGCTTAATTTATTAAATGTCTCGTACTAAAATCATAATATTCATAAGAATAACCGATTGATTATTAACATCACACTGATGACGTTATCTAAACAATACTGAGGAGGATCTCTTAATTTTGAACCAAAGCTGAAACTTCATTCGCCAAGTTTTCCCACCTAGCCAACGTGAAGGCATTGAGTCTCGATGGACCTATTCTGCACCCTTCCTCAACACTCTAGGCTTTCTAGATTGAAATTTCATCACGTTTCGCATTTGAGAGATTTACATTTAACGAGTAGTAAAAAATACGTAGGCTTTTCAATAAGTAATAAGAGTAATTTTATTGCCGCGAAACTACTCATTGGAATATTAGTTTCTGTGGTATAAGAAAAGTTTGTTGTCTGTATTAGCAAAAGCTACCGATAGATGGCGTGTACAGACTCATGTTCTTGAGTATCACGTGCTCGAACTGAAGCGAGCTTGCAGGCACCTACGAGACGCGGCCAGTTGTCGAAATGGAACCAAAAATCTGTAAAAACCAGCATCGGAGACCTTTGATATGATACAATATGATTAAAGACTTATTGAACAGCCCTCGTATTTTATATAATGATCTCACAGATGCAATCGGAAATTTAATCATGACTTTACAAATAGACTATCCATTGCGAGAAAAATTAAGTTTCTGAAAATATGTAGCTGAATTTTTAATTTAAGTCAAACTACATAGCACCCCAAAACAATCACATATTTGAATAAAGCTATATTAACTGTATTCACACAATCTTTGTTTATGTCAAAGGAATAAAGCGGAGTAAAAACTTTTTAGAAGCACAGTCGGGCCTTTATTTAATGAAGTAGCTAACTACCGAAAGAAATTTCAGTATATGGACAATTATTTATATAGAGGTTCATCTTTCTCAATATACTTTATAAACCTCAGGAAATAAATTTCTCAAACTCATATCGACTGTACATTAAAAGGAGTAATTATTCACATCTTCTTGTCTAGAAATACTTTAAAAATAGGGAGAAAAAATTGAGTCACAAGAAATGAAGTTCATTATAAAGAAAATGCACTTCGAACTTGGGAGATTATTTTACGAAGAAAATCATGAAATATTCTTGGTTTCAGGCAATAGGTCACTATAAAGAAAAATTCGCAATGTAGAGCTTTGTAATATGAAGTTTCGACCGTATTTGCAACCAATTAAACTAATACCTTCATATTGAAAACTAACACAATTAGTTTTCGTTATAAAGGAGTTAGACTTCAAAATTTCATTAAACTTTGTGGCTTCCGTCACCTAGTTGTCATTCTCACGAACTTGAGGCTGGTGTGTCATGATTCGGAACCAAATTAACCCTGAAGACCCTCCATAGAGAGGGGGCCGATGCACGTTAAACCTGTCGTGTCTCTAAGTCCTCCGGTTGATGCGGTAGTTCGTAGAGAGGGAGTCAGGTTAGGGGTTATCCTCGTCACTTGGCCACGATTCAAAATTTCGAGGTTGGTGCCCCAAACCCTCTTGTTGTTTTAGAGCAACAGTTCTTAAACTTTTGATCATGGCGGTCGACCTTTTTTTATCAGCCTGATTCCCAAGATTTTGAACACACTTCCCTGACTCCCAGTACATGGCTGAATGATTTAAATACAATAATTATCATATTGGGTTCTATGAATTTAGTTCTTAAGCTTAGCACATGTTTTTCAACTATTTTTTGAAAATACTACTTTGTAGTAATGGCTATGTATATATATATATATATATATATATATATATATATATATATATATATATATATATATATATAGTCGCAAACAATAAAAAAAACTCAGTTAATATTCTAGATCGAGAAACATGTTCTAATAGAATTTTTTAATGGGGAGGGGGGACAAATTTATAAAACCCAGTCTAGAATGGCACACATTTCAATTCTTCCACGAGTTTGGAAGTAAGGAAATTCTTAACATTAAGGTATCCGACTACGTTCGGAACCGTGATTTTGCAAAAGCGTATAAATGGATAATATTTAGGATATTTAGTGTCACTTAGAATAGAAAATGTGTATAAAATTGTTTTAAGAGTAGTATTATAATAAAAAAAAATATTGAAGTACAATATTTTGACAAAAAATGAACATAGAATGATCCATTTTCAAAATAGTCTCCTTTTGTGAAAAATGCTTGGATTATAATAATATTTTGTCTGCATATAGCTCAGACCACAGTACAGAGGCTGAACTAGAATTTTCGAAATATATAACATAGAAGTGGGTTTATCCATGTTTTACAACAGAGGGGAGAAATTTTAAGAAAAAAACGCCGATAATTATTTCAATTGGTTGTAAATCTTAAAAAGTAATGTGCATTTTTTAAAAATCATCGTTGAGCTTCTATACAGAGGTCTGAGCTATATGTAGGCAAAATATTATTATAATAGACGCATTTTTCACAAAAGAAGAACATTTTGAAAAAAAGTTATTCTGAGGTAATTTATTGCCAAAAAATATTGTATTTAAATAATTTTTTTCGTCAAAATGCCAATACAATTTTATACATGTATTCTAATCTAAGTGACACTAAATATCATGAAAATTATCCATTTATGCCCCTTTTTAAAATCACGGTTCCGAACGTAATCGGATACCTTAAAATGCAAGATAATCAAATTTTCTGAGTTAAAATATTTTGCATACCTATATATAAAACAAGAAACTTATTAAGAAATATTTAGCTATTTAAAAATTATTTTCTCCACTTCACTAAGCTGATGCAAGAAGACTCATTGCAAAGCCTCTTAATCTTTTTCATATAACGCATCTTTATAAACTATACATCAGTGCTGCTCAAACTTAATATTTGCGGACCAATTTTCAAACATAATTATCATCGCACCCTTCTTTCCTTACATGAACATTGCTTTTAATTCAATACTAATATACTTGACGCTAAAGCCGCACAACACAACTTTCATTATAAACCATACAAATTTTTAAGATAAATATTAAATTTCAATATAAGTTTTTATATTTGAAAAGCCTATGGATTCACTGGTAATTATTAAACTTATTCTTCAGTTAGTATTGTAAGAAAAATTATTTTAAATGCTAAGTGCAGTAATGATACATTTATAAGTACATTTAAAACTTTTCGATATACTTGCGCCCCCCCGTAGGGCTATCATGCCCCTCTAGGGGGCGTGCTCCACAGTTTGAGAAATACTAGTATAACCTCAGTTGCGATTGGAAATGAAAATCTATATTAAGATTTAACGCAAGATTGGTTTTCGAAAAATAAAGATACAACTCTCCATATTCACATCTCAAATATTTTATATTGATAAAAAAATTATTACAAATTACTTACTGGTACATAATTTAGTACTTTT